TTGGTGGGGAAGCCAGAGGGAAAGAGAGACTGCAGTACAAGAGATCTGGTTGTAAAAGTATTCAGTGCTAGTAGCGAAAAAAGCATTGGGGGGCAGAGGAGGGAGCACTCAAAATAGTTGGTAAAGTAGCATACCTTCTTACCGATTGTGCTCTCGGCCCAGGAGGTCATTTTAAATTTAGTTCCTTGTAAAATGAACATAGATGGCAGCAGCCTTGCACCGAGGTGTCATGGCCGCCACGTTTCCAACCAATAACATGGGAGTTGCACGGGGCTGCTCATGTGGCTCCATCAGTAGATCAGGATGCACAGAAATGCCAGTTCAGTGTAGACCCGAGTGTTCCTATGGGAGGATCCCAGTTCTGAATAGGCTCCCCAGCGTCTGGCCGCTTTATGCCTATGGGCTAGTCGCTGCTTACGTAGATCAATTTGTCTGAGAAAAGACAAAAAGTACCCCTCAAGAAATAATATATTATCAGTAATAAGAGAAAACTAAAAAAATGTTTGTATCTAGAATGGTCAAGAGGTTATGAAATGGTTGCAGATGTGCTTTTGTTTAAAGGTGACAAGTTTGCCTATGCGGTTCAGTGTTTTATGCAGCGTGAATAATTGTGATCTTGCTTTAAGCAGGTTCAAGAAATGTTCACTGATTGTAATTAGAAAACCAAGCAGACCTATGAATAATTTCATGATGATTTTGTTTGTTATCAGTTTCCCTCTTCCTGTGTTTAATATGTTTAATCTGTGTTTGGAAGTGCTTGATAACTTGCATAAGAAAGTTATAACATAGGTCATCGTTTTAGAAACAAACAGTAACCAAACATTTTAAGTTAAACTCAGGTTTGAATTCCTGTTTTCCACTCTTGATAGAGTGGCTGTGATTAGTGCTGTCTTGTCAATGTACATCAGAACTTTAAAATGATTATCGATACAGGGAGATACCAAGATACTTACACTCTTGATGTAGTGAATTCAGTAATTGCCTTTGAAAACAAAACTAGTCAAGTCATCACCTCATTATATAAAAGGAATAAGAATTTTAATAATAATATTTCTTGAGATGCTGCTAGTGGTTTGTACTCCCATAGAATCTTCATTAAAATTAAAATAAGAAGAAAATGGTAAATTAAGAGAGCAAATGTGTACACAGACAGTAAATATATTGCTTCAAATAAAGTGAAAATGAAGTTCATGTGTTCTATAATGGCTTATTGCTATGGTTAAATGGGGCACCCATCTGTAGCTATAAGCATGTGTTCCTGTTTGTCAGATTATAGTATTGTAACGTGTTTCATTACTGAATACGCCGTAGAGATCGTTAATTGGTTTATTGAACAATCTACAAATATCGGCTACAATTAATTATAACAATGTTACGGGTTTCCACTCTTTACAAACCCTACAACAAAATCTCTTAACACTATCTTCAAGAGTCTTCACGTATTAATAATGCGGGAGCTATACAAGTCTCCCTGAATTACACACTCCAAATATAATTGGTTATCACGAACTACCACTGATTCTCGCACACGTGTCTGTAGCTCGTAACTTGCGAACTGAGAACTCGTTGGTAACACACTGACTCTCGCTTGCTGCTCAGCTGGCTTTTATTCCATTCGCTGTTGCTAGTGTGACGTGGCGTATAGCCTAGGACGCTGTTACCCCTTGGTGACGTCACCGCTGTTGATTCGCTTTGCATAGCTTCAAGGTTGCGGGGACTCGACTAACTTTGGCTCCGCTCGTGACGTCACTGCGGGGAGAGTTGCGGGGTGATGGCTCGCCTATTACGCGAGCGCTACGTTACCGCGACGTGCAGCTGGGGAGGCAGGGGTCAACATGTCACACTGCTCCCTCCTTAACACTATTCGTCCCGAATAGCCTAACCGTGCTTCCCCCATCCCTCTTCTTTGGAGGCTGTTCTTGCAGCATCTTCTTTGTGTCCTTCTACTGTTTCTCTTCTCCCCATTGCTCTGCTCTCCAACCGCCACATCTTCCCCCTTTTTATGGTTGCTCGTCTCGGCGCAGCTCCATGATAACGTGCAAGCCGGTCGAGGTGTACAACCAACATCCTCGACCTAGGGGTCTTCTGGATTCGGTAAACCACATCATTTATCCGGGTCACTACTTTGTAAGGACCTTCCCATGATGCTTGTAGTTTCGGCGATTTCCCTTTTCTGCGGGTCGGGCGATAGAGCCAGACTCTGTCGCCTTCGTCGTAACCTGCGGAGTTGGCCAGTTTATCGTACCGAGTTTTCATCCGGTCACTGGCAAGCTTCAGGTGTTGCCGGGCATAATTGTGGATGTCGTGCAGATGATNAGAAGTTGGCAACCAGAACTTCCGCTATTGTTGAAGCCTCCTGATTCGGGATGGTGTACACTTCTGGCCACTTGGTGAAGTAGTCCATAGCAATCAGTAAGTATCGGTTCCCTCGGTTGCTTTGTGGGAAGGGCCCTGCGATATCAATGGCTACTCTCTCGAAGGGAGCACCAACATTATACTGGTGCATTTGCCCACGATTCCTGGTACGCGGTCCACGTAATTTTTTTATCAGAACCAGGGCAGCAGAAATTGTAAATGCATGATCCACTTACAATCAACATACTGAAAACATCAGCTTATAAAAAGAACTGACAAGTGCACACACTTTTACATTATTAAAATAAATGGCATAAAGTTATATGATACATAACTAAAGAACATTCAATCAGTGTTCAGAATAAAATAAGGTGCCCAAACTGCAGAGTTAAACTATGAAACTGAAAGAAGACACATGCATTCCAACCCTAACTGTGTCATCTGTTTGCTAAGCAATGCTACTATGTATATGCTGTGATGATGTTTCTGAGTAAGTTTTTCTATGGGGTGGGACCTTAAAATTTAATTTATTGAAACTATGCAACCATAGAATGGCAATTTTTTTAGCCTTTTTGCCACTGGATTTGCTGAAGTCTTCTGTGCCAAACACACAAGACTACAAAAGCCTCTGTCATGAAGCACTTACCTTCTTTCCTCTTGTCATCATACAACTGCACCTGCAAGAACATACACTAGTCAACATGACAATATCTTTTGTTTCCATGCTTATGTTCTTACAAGCTGGTGACGGTCTCACAACTAACTCATTGTCAAGTCAGAGTCAAAGTCACATTGCAACTGACGGTCGGTCAGTCTGTCTATCATGACAAGATTTTTTTTTTATATGAAAGTTACTGTCCTGTCCATTTGGGGTGCCCTCTCTGATGAGAAGTCGGTTCTGTCATTTGTCAGTCATAGTCTGTAGTCAGTATTTACATATATTTACAAATTTAATCTTAATTCCTATTTCTATGTACAATATATACAAGGCCTCCGTCAATCCAGGCTCAGTACAGCAGTTTATGCCCTATTTCTAGTAGTATTCACTACCACGTCAGTCTAGTCACTTGAACGGTTGTATGCCTGACTGCCGCCAAGTTTAAGCCTCTTATACGTTGTGGTGGGCTTCGCCTTGTCCAATGTTGCTAACATTCTTATTATCATGATTTTGTATGACTTCTGGTTGTTGCCTACATAATTCTGTTGTACAGTCATATACATATGAGATTCTGAACGCCACGTGCAAATCTCGGATCGGTGTGTGCCTTGGAAAACTGCCAATGGTGCAGAGAACCTTGTTTTGCAGGCGCTGCAATTTCATTAGATGGGTGTCTGCCGCAAATTCTCAGGTGGGACTAGCTAAGTCATTATGGATCTAATAACAGCTTTTAGGGTCAGCTTAATATTAGTGCTCAATCGCTCACTTCTGAATAGGGAATATGCTCTAATGAATGTTCTCAAGGCCTTGGCTTCGATCATTTCTATGTGTAATCTCCATGTAACTCTCTTATCGAAGATTACACCTAGATATTTTGCACTATTTACAAATGGAATATTTTGTCTCTTTAGAGTAAGACTAGATTCAGGCAGTCGACGACTACAAGAGAAATAGACCCCAAGTCTTATCTTCATTAATTTTAATGTTCCAGCGCTCAAACCAGGTCTCCATTGAGCTTAGACCGCACTGGAGTTTTCTGACAATAAATCCCTCCTTGCAATCTGACGTATACGGAGAGGTGTCGTCTGCAAAGAGGGCCAGATGAACACCATGAGTTTGGGGGGCATCATTAATGTACAGACTGAAAAGAGTAGGGGACAGTACCAAACCTTGTGGCACTCCTGATTGCATTTCCCTTGGCGTTGACATTTCTCCTTCAACCGAAACCCTGAATTTACGTTGAGAGAGACATGACCAAATAAGTTTGGTCAAACTGTTCAAGAATTGCAATTTTGATGACTTATACAGCAAACCTGAGTGCCATGTGGTATCAAAGGCTTTTTCGATGTCCAAGAACACTGTGGCTGTAGACATTTTATTGTTGAAATTAAGGGTCACATGGTCTGCCAGCCTCACATATTGCAGTGTCATGCTGCGACATGCACGAAACTCAAACCAGCTTGCATTGAGCAGGTCTCTTTCATCAATGTGTTTTTGGAGCAATTTCAAAATCACTTTTTTGAATAGTTTTCCTGTTGTGGACAGGAGGCTGATCGTACGTAAATTTTGCAGGAATTTTGGGTCTTTACCGGGTTTAGGTAAAGTTATTACTTTTGCTTCCTTCCAAGTCTTTGGAAAATGAGAGAGCCGAAGACAATGATTGAATAAATGAGTGAGGTGAACAAATGGTCGCCTTGCAAGGTGCCTGAGGCATTCATTTGAGATGCCGTCAATTCCACAGGCCTTTTTCAATTTAAGGGAGTTTATTAATTTTTGTATGTCACATGGTCTGATCCTTTGAGGGGGGGTTGTCATCTATGGTTTCAAGCAGAGCTTGAACTCTAGCCTCCACCTGCCATTCATGGTTTTCGTCACACAGGACATGTGGCGTGAACTGAATTTCCAAACAGTCAGCAATTTCATTGGCTTTTTCGAAAGGATGGAATTTAAGGCCAGAAGTACCATGAACAACAGTTGGTGCCCTTGGTCCGTCCCTCTTTAAGAGGGATTTCACAATTGGCCATATACCCTGAGGTGTGACTTCAGTGTTACCTATTTTGTTTCCCACCATTCAAGTGCCTTTTTTCAGGCCATTCACCTGATTGATTTTGTGACCCAATTGATTGCTGTTTTACATGCTAGATCCCTCGTTTCTTGCCATAATTTTTGAAGCCTCTGCTTATGTTTTATCAAACGATCTAGACCAGGAAGGTCATTGTTTATGTCCAAAACTATTAACTTTACTTGTCAACAATCTATATGCCGAAGCAATAGACACTGCAAATTTTCGTGCCGCTTTATTGGCTTCTACCCCAGACTTAATTTCTATTTTAGGTGATTTTTAACTCAGAGGCGAGGCTCTGAAACTGCTCCCAGTCTGTGAATTTTTCTATAGGTTCCAAAAGATTCCTAATTTTACGTGATCCAGTATGTGGAATACTATTGGTAGGTGATCTGAATCCAAAATATCTGAGACAATGACATCTGACATTCTGATATTTTTGTGAACCACAATATCCAGCACGTCACCATTTCCTGCAGGGGAATAATGAGTGGGGCACTGTGGTGCTGAAATTTCGAATTCACTCATATCAAACAAATCCACGAGTTTCTCGCCTGAGGGGTTTGAAACTATGCTATTCCAAAATAGGTGTTTAGCATTCAAATCACCTGCCAAAATTGACTCACATCTAAAGCTTAAGAGCTTAGTGATGTCAGCATCAATCCAGACCCTGCCTGGGGATTTATAAACAGCTGCAAGCAGTACTTCACTGTTACCAATTGGTATGCAGAACCCTGTCGCTTCTACTGAAATAAGGGGTGGTAGGTCTACATGGTTATGGGGAATTTCTTTTCCAACTGCAATGGCAGTTCCGCCTTTTCTGCTCGAGTGGCGGTTGGTTCTATAAATGTGGTAGTTTGGAATAAAGAACCTCTCATGAGGTTTCACATATGTCCTAAAAACAGGATCACATCTATGTGTAGATCTTGCAGCTGTTTACTGAGCTCATAGTGCTGCCTCCCAATGCCATTCACATTAAATGCTATGACTCTGAGTCGGCTATGAACTATAGTGGCCATTTTGTTTAACCAGATTTAATACCATTTTTGTAATGACCACTATTTTGTCCTCTTCAGACACTGCATCATTGAACTCTGTCATAATCTGGTGTACTACAGTCACTACTCTCAACATATTGTCGAAAGGTTGACTGATTACATGAGGAGCCTGATCTGACTGGCCTGTTTCTGCAGTGCAGGAGCCAGTACAATCTGCTTTCTTGCTGTGGTTGGACAAACCACTGGAACATGGTTTTCCTGAGGGTGCTTTTGCTGCTGTACTGCGCTGCCTTGGAGTGTCATCACAAAGGAGACACCTGGGGTGACAATGTTTGAGGAGAACACCCTCCTCGTGGTAGTCTTGGGCGCTCTCTGCCCCTTCCTTTTCTGCTGCTCCTCCTTGGCATGTTTGCAACCCTGATAATTGGCGGGATGCGGTTTTTCTCCCTCTGCCAACCAGCAGTTGCAGCATATTGGAGTGGAGGCAGAGTTTCCCTTTTCTGGGCACTCCTTCTGTAGGTGGCCGCCTCTGCACCACAAACAACATAGAGGTTGCTTGCAGTTTGCCCAAACATGGCCGAACTGCTGACAGCTGTAGCACTGTGTAAGCCCGTTTTGTGCTTTGTACGCCTCTACCCTGATGGCAATGTGGCAGAGGTTGGTCAATCGAAAGAGTTCTTGGGACTTCTACGTTCTGGGTTGTGTGATAAGGAACAAGGAAAGGTTGTTGGTACTTGTTCCTTCTGGAGGTGTCAGACAACTCGTTGACATTTTTTTGATGCTAATGACATGGACTCGCCATTCCATCAGAGATATCCTCTGCTGGAGTATTTTGTGGGAGGTGACGGATGACCGCTTTGATGGGTTTTTCTATTTCGGGTAATACAAAGAATATGAAAGGTTGTTGTTACCCTCTAGGAATTTTTTTATGGCTGAAAAGTCTATCATTTATTTTTTGACAATTCTGATCCTGTTCCTGGTGTTGCAGAACTGAAAACTGCCCGTGACAATGTCTTTGTTTTTCCTCTGCAACTGTATCAGGTTAGTCATAGAGGTTAGCACAATGGGAGGCGGCCTACTTGCCTTGATGCACGATGGCTGCCCCTGTTCTTTGTCTGGGTCATCGGCTGTCTCCTCCACAACATCCTTTCCTGATGTCCTCAGATTTTTTTTGTCAGTACCTCACCTTGGGATCGTATCCTAGGATCCCGCGGTCCGCATGTCAGCTTCGGTCTTTTCGCCTATTCCTCTGAGGAGTTTCACCTGCGTCTCCTTTGTTCGCAAAATTCCTCAGGTGATTCCGTTTGTTCTGGGAGCAGCGAGTCTCACGTTTCCCTGTGTATGGCAGTGTACATGTGCAGAATGGCTGTAAAGAGCGCCTTTCCATCGAGGTGATTATAAAGCACTGTCCTCTCAGCTTCGGATTTTGTGATTAATTCTTTCCATACTGCTCTGTTTCCATTTGCAGAGGGTGATGTATGGATAAGCTGCCATATTGTTTCTAGGCCACTATTCAGTTCTATTTCTTCCTGGCAGTCAGGATTCTTTGCATTTAAATCTTTGTGGTTCTTCTCAAAGGACGCCATGATTGCCTTCCAGCATGTTTCACACACTGTCGACTCCGTCATTTTGCTTGCTTACTAGTCCGTATGCAGACAGGATGGTCCCACCACTGACACACCAGCCGCTCCACTCTTGTATTATAGTTTAGAGTTTCACCCTTATAGTGCCTGGCGGCCGCTCTAGTGGCCGTCCCTTAACTGCCATGCCATTTAAATTCGTTTTAGATACTATTACATGCTTATTTATAATAAATTCTACTCATCCCATTTTTGGAGTCAGATAACTGGAAAAATTCCCGGTTGTTGCATGATGAATGTATATTCTTGTGCAGGAACAATTTTATTTCTATCACAGCACATTATGAAGATAAAAAATATTTTTCGTACTTTTTTTAGAGAAAAAAACGACTCTTTGACTTTCAAGGATAATATCAACATCAAATATTTGAAAAAGTAATTACCTGTTGTTGTTTTCTGATAGCTCCATTCATATTATATGTGATGTTAAAATTTGAAAATTGTACACCAAATAGTTTATTCATCATATCAATATTTGTAAAACACTGCAGTTCTCGTTCTCACTGACTGTGCACAAGTGAAACAACATAAGTGGACTATGTACCACCGGTACATTTATGTTCAGGGATGTGGTGAAAAACAGATAAAAATACTGATTTTGGGTCATAGGTGCGGATGGGATATACTTTGATCCTTGCGTTTCTGTATTACAAAAATGGAGTTGGGCCTGAATATTACTCTCCTCAGAAACCTCCCCGTGAATGATTTCAACTGTGCCACCAAGGTCACTGTCACTTGTTTCACTGATGCGCTCAGGTGAACTGCGTCTCGTTTCGGTGGAGTTGATGTAGAAATTTCACTCCCGCTGCTGTTTGAAGAGATATTTTCATTGTCAGACAACTCAAAATCACTAACAACATCTTCTTCCATCAAACCGTGAATGTCAGCACCCTTCATTTATCTCCTAGCCATGGTAAAACACAAAAAAACTGGCACAATTGAAGCAGAATTTGAAACCAGGCAGACACAAAGGCCNGACACTCACTGCGCGTCTACTTGTCTTGAATGTCTTGAAGGTCACGAGCGGTCACGAGACTGGAACAGAATATAAGCGGAAGACATATTCTTCCAGCTGAAGTGAATTCAAGTGCCATCTGTAGGCGAATAGGTACAAATACAATGAAATCAAACCGACTTCAGAAGCCCATAGTGTCATCCGTTGCGATATTATTCACAGAGGGTATATTCTTAATGCAATCGATATAAAACCAGAGTTTCGTAGACTTCAAACATCGATCTACACAGTGGTATATAATAACGCGACATTTGAAACCACAGAAAGCAATTGCAGGCGTTTAGAAACTGGTAGACAGCAGGGCCACCAGAGCGGCCCGCTGGCATTCTTCGCTTGTACTAGCTGGGCCTCTAGAGTGGCCCGCTGGCACTATAAGGGTTAACTTTTTCTCATTCAATCCTGTATCTTATCCAGACTTACGCTCTTTTTAAAACACAGGTTAAAATTATTTCAATTTAATTGTTAAAATTTAAAAGTTCATGAATCGAAGTTCAATTCATGTCGCTGGTTACACTTTCACTTGTTTACAGTCNAAGCATCGTGCTAATCTCCCCCTCTCCCTTAAACAATGAACAATAACTCGTCATTTTTCACTGCACTGTGTCACTCACTCTGAACTCCTAACTACTCTCTAATCAACTGCTCTATTTCTGCACTCTCTGTCACAATCTCTCATTGTCAAAGTCAAAGTCACATTGCGACTGACGGTCGGTCAGTCAGTCAGTCAGTCAGTCAGTCAGTCAGTAAGTCAGTAAGTTTTGGTGTCGAGACCTCTGATTGGCTCATGACCAGATATTAATTATCTGGACAGTTACAGTCTTGTTTCTGTGGGGCACCTTCTCTGATGAGAGGACGGATCTGTCTTTTGTATATGCTGCTGGTCCTTGCCAGCGCAGTCTTACTTGGGTCCGAGTCCCTTGGGACTTGCGACCATATTTTACTGTCTCAGAATTGAGACTTCCCTTTTCGTCGCCTCCTACGACTCGCAGGGTCATGGTGGAGGTATTCGATCCCGCCTCCACACGGGTCTAACTCATTGCTTCAACTGTCCTGCTTATAACATCTTGGCATGGACCACACAGAAAATACCATTCCTCTCAGCAACAGCTGCTTCTTTTGCAGTCATTGCCTAGCAACTGGTCTGCATGCCACAATCCCAATCACTTAAATTACAGGACATGCAGCTCAAAAGCAAAGACAAACACCAGCAGTGGGGGAGATTAGGTGGCCCTAGCAGTGATAACAGTGGATGGTACAGACATCCTGCCATCAGCAATTCAAGAAAAAGATCTCCTCACACACTCAAAGGCTCAGCTGTTGGCTCTCTGGTGAAGAGGATGAATTCACCAGCTTTCAGGGCCTCTGAAAAGGGGCCCATGAAAATAAGACTGAAAGAGGTCTCTTGATGGGGGTTAGCAGCCTTACCAGCTGGAGCTTGGCTGTAGGGACTCAAGATGTCCCTCTTGGTAAATGACACAAGGCATTATGTCAACACCCAACTTGGATGGGCATGGATCTATGACCTTTAACTGCACATAAGTGGATGGACATTAAGAGGGTTTCAACCTAGAGGCTTCTGGTTGTGGCTAATATTAAGGATCTTAAATAGTCTGAATGACAATGAAGCCCAGAAAGGTGAGTACTTCAGTTACAGAAGGCTGTAATCACACTGTACTGGAAGCTGTGAGTTCTATACATGGGCACGGGCATTTGACAGTATGTCTTAGCTTAAATCATACTAATTGTGTTGTTTTCTGGGCTCTATGATATATGTTACAAGAAATAATACATATCTTACAAACCACTTATAAAATGTTGAAATTAGATCATAAGAAATGAAAGAAGAAACATAATTGATCACTTAGAAAAGATCTGACTTCTGGCAAAATTGACACATTCTAAACATTCCCCATGTGATCTACATTCATCACTTCTTTATATACATCTTTAATACACTGATTAACTCCATGCAGAGAATTCCATAAATATTTCCCATCCTTTATTGAACTTGAATGTTCATTGGCACATTCACAACAGCTGATCAATGGGCCCTATTCAGACCAAAGATGAATTCTGTCCCCACCATTACACCCTATTTTTTCAAAATCACCTCACTATTACCTTCCCATCTATGTCTCAGGATGCCAGGTGGTCTCTTTACTTCTGATTGCAGCCAACCTGTTAATTTATTCAAGAATATAGTTTTGATTTACTTTTTCGATACATTATCACAAAGCTTTAAGCTGTAGTCAGACGCCTGTATGAGTCTGAAACCTCATTAACGTAACTTACGATTTTATTATACTATGGTATTTCTGCTGAAAGAAATGGGAAACCAGCAAAGATGGCTGTTGCCCGTCGTTGCAACTAAACACCTCTGTAAAAAAGCCCAAGATTAGGCAATAGTGCAACAGCCGTTACATGATAACCACAACAATATAAACAAATGACAATACTGTGCGGTGCACTCTTCAACATATCTCACCTTCGTTTCCTTATTACTTCCGTCACAAATTAATAGTAATTTGCGATAGGCGTTGATATGAGTCTCGTCCTTGGAGTGAACCTTCGGATTGTATGGAACACATTGTTGGTACTTAAACAAGACTGCAGCTAAAATTAGAAGTTTGTGTTCCGATGATACTGTTGCTGAAGAGAATTCATGTGGCCAGTTAACGCGTAAGAAGCCTTTCGAAGGGGCAATGACCCCAAAATCAGAGTTCTTATTCCTTCCGGATGTGCCATAGGCTGGCACCCGTATGAAAAATTCTGACGTCGAAAATCTCAAAGTAGGTGGTAGGATCAGCAATCAGATCCCACAAAACAGCTCGAGGCCTAACTTCCTCAGTACATAACTGCAGCCCCGAAAAGTAGTGTGCACTACTTAACCCACAAAACCCTCACATAGCCTGCTCAAAAC